TACTAATACTGCTGCACCAAAAGAGTAAGAAGTTAATGCTTTTCTTTTTCTTTTCCCATTTACCCTCTACTTTTCCTCCTTTATTTTCCCATTATTTACAGTTTTCTTTGTACTTCTGTATTGTATATTTTGATAAACTAATGTGGGAAGAATTATCCTTCTGGGTTCAGTTCCAAGTGGGAAAAAAGATACTGGAAACATGGAGGCTGTTTGGAAAGATGGTTTAATGGTGGACAGGACCACATGGCTTGGAGCTCCAAAGTGAAAAGGACAATCACATGCTTCAAGATGTTGGGTGAAGGAAAAGAAAGGGACAAGATGCTGAGAGATCCTTAGTTTTATACCCTCTGTTGGGCCCCACCTTAGTTTTTCCTGTTCCTGTGTAAGAAATGTATCCCATTGGCTGTCAGACTCCCGGGGCAGGAGTCTAGATAACTTTGTAGGCTTTGTCTGGAGTGGACCACCGTGGCTTCATCAGAGTGCTGGCTGATACAATCTTCCCAGGCCATGTGGTGAGATGGGTAGAGGGCTTTGTTATGTAGAATACTCTGGCCCATTAACAAAGGTGGGAGTGAGCTTCTGCTTCTGAGGTAAGTTTCTGCTTCTGAGTTTCTACTTCTCTTTTTAGGGGAAATATTCTGCCTTTTTAGTATATCCTAAAATATTTCATTTTCCTAGGAGAGGGGTGGGTGCTAACTTTCTACACTAATATCAAAATACTAGGGTTAAATTGATTTTAACAATTTCATTTACTGAGAAGAAATGTGAAATGTGAATTGAAACCTCAAGCAGAAATTACTTGGGAACGCTAATAAAATAGTGGGGGATTTGATGGGAATTGTCCTTGTAAGAGATGACCAGATTTGAGCCAAATGGAGGGGTCAAATGCATCATCAGTCTCAAACCCCTTTGAAGATCCAAGTCCAGCCCACCTTGAATTCTATTGACCCTTATCACCCTCCAACTTGCTTCAACTTTTAGTAGTTTAGATTCTAGTAGACAGCTTAAGCTTGCAACAAACCTTTGTGTTCATTTAAACTGCCTGGACTCCTGATTTCCTTTGTTTGATAGTCCTGCTCGTCAAGCTAGTATCTGTGATAGTGTGATTGGCCAATATATAAAAGAACCTGCCATCAGCAGTCCTGTAATAATGTTTTAGAAAAATTATTTATTTAGAAACTTTATGTGGGAACAGGATCAGAACCATAAATTGTATGACTTTTTACATTTGCATACCCAACTTGATCCAGCGAATGTAAAGCATCATTGGCTAACCTTTGGTGCATTTCTCGAATAATATTGCTACATATAAATGAAATATATAAATAAAAATATCACCTTTTTATAATGAAGTCATAATAAGAATCAATATGATTTTAAATCCTATTTTATTTATTTTAAATACTATTTTAAGCTGCATCTTGAAATAGAGCATGTCTGAAGAAAATTCATTACCAAATATATAATATTGTGGAAGTGAAAAGACACAACATCTCTTTATGTGTGACAGTAATTGAGATGCCTTATTGTTTGTAGCTCATGAACTAATACAGGTGAAACTCGAAAAATTAGAATATTGTGCAAAAGTTCATTTATTTCAGTAATGCAACTTAAAAGGTGAAACTCATTACATGCAAAGCAAGATAGACTCATTACATGCAAAGCAAGATAGTCCAAGCCATGATGTGTCATAATTGAGATGATTATGACTTACAGCTCATGAAAACCCCAAATCCACAATCTCAGAAAATTAGAATATTGTGAAAAGGTTCAATATTCTAGGCTCAAAGTGTTCCACTCTAATCAGATAATTAAGCCGTAACACCTGCAAAGGGTTCCTGAGCCTTTAAATGGTCTCTCAGTCAGGGTCAGTAGGAATCACAATCATGGGAAAGACTGCTGACCTGACAGTTGTACAGAAAACCATCATTGACACCCTCCATAAGGAGGGAAAGCCTCAAAAGGTAATTGCAAAAGAAGTTGGATGTTCCCAAAGTGCTGTATCAAAGCACATTAATAGAAAGTGATGTGGAAGGGGAAAGGGTGGAAGAAAAAGGTGCACAAGCAGCAGGGATGACCGCAGCCTGAAGAGGATTATCAGGAAAAGGCCATTCAAAAGTGTTGGGGACTTTCACAAGGAGTGGACTGAGGCTGGAGTCAGTGCATCAAGAGCCACCACACAGAGACTAGATCCTGGACATGGGCTTCAAATGTCGTATTCCTCTTGTCAAGCTGTTCCTGAACAACAAACAACGTCAGAAGCGTCTTACCTGGGCTAAAGAACAACAGAACTGGTCTGTTGCTCAGTGGTCCAATGTCCTCTTTTCCGATGAGAGCAACTTTTGCATCTCATTTGGAAACCAAGGACCCAGAGTCTGGAGGAAGAATGGAGAGGCACATGTTGCAAGATGCTTGAAGTCCAGTGTGAAGTTTCCACAGTCTGTATTGATTTGGGGAGCCATGTCATGTGCTGGTGTTGGTCCACTGTGCTTCATTAAGTCCAGGGTCAACATAGCTGTCTACCAGGAGATTTTGGAGCACTTCATGCTTCCTTCCACAGATGAGCTTTATGGCGATGCTGACTTCATTTTCCAGCAGGACTTGGCACCTGCCCACACTGCCAAAAGGACCAAACCCTGGTTCAATGACCGTGGGATTACTGTGCTTGATTGGCCAGCAAACTTGCCTGACCTGTACCCCATAGAGAATCTATGGGGCATTGCCAAGAGAAGGATGAGAGACATGAGCCCGAACAATACAGAAGAGCTGAAGGCTGCTATTGAAGCATCCTGGTCTTCCATAACACCTCAGCAGTGTCACAGGCTGATAGCTTCCATGCCACACCGCATTGAGGCAGTAATTGCTGCAAAAGGGGCCCAAACCAAGTACTGAGTACATATGCATGCTTATACTTTTCAGAGGTCCGATATTGTTTTATGTACAATCCTTGTTTTATTGATTGCATGTAATATTCTAATTTTCTGAGATTGTGGATTTGGGGTTTTCATGAGCTGTAAGCCATAATCATCACAATTATGACAAATCATGGCTTGAACTATCTTGCTTTGCATGTAATGAGTCTATCTCATATATTAGTTTCACCTTTTAAGTTGCATTACTGAAATAAATGAATTTTTGCACGATTTTCTAATTTTTTGAGTTTCACCTGTATTTGCCTGAAAAAAGGAAGGAAAGGTTAATTTCAGAATCAGGACAGATCTGTTAAATACATAAAATAAGTAGATCTGTTTGTTCTCCTTATACTGTTAACTTTTCTGTCTGATCAATACATGTCCAGTTTTGTTAATTTATTTTACTTTTAATTTTCTTTTCATCACCCGTTTCTTTCTTTTGTTAATGTATTCCAAAACAGGCAAATCAATTGTGTTTTTTAATTGTACTTAAATGACTAAAATAGTAAAAAAATAAAAGCATAAGAAAAAATATACAAACTTGCAATTCAAAATATTCAAGAAATTATCTTTTAAAACCAAATTATCAAACTCTAACTTTCTTGGACAAATAGAAATGTCTTAGCCTGTCATTGGATATATAGCAATGTATGTACTCGACATACTATATTTTTCTGAAGAGGATATGCTAAATTAAGACCAAGGAAGCATTAGCATGCCATGATCATATTAACTAATACCTGTAATTAGCCATCCATTTATTAGATAATATATAACTGATGTAAGATTATACCTATCTAGACAGATTCAGTGCTAATATGTCATTTTAAACTGATAAAAGGCACTCCAGTTCATTATCTGTGCTTATATTGACAATAGTGAAGCCAAGAACCACTTAACTGATTTGAGTCACAACTATCTCTAGAATACATAGACTGCACCAGGGGATGTCATAATATTCTATTGTAAAGTTCAAAATAGTGCAAGCAGTGCTATTCACTGTGACACATTATGCAAATGAAAGTTATACTTTAAAGAAGTGCAAAAAAAGGATTGATTCCTTTGAAATTTGATATTGAAGAAGATTCCTAAGAATCTTCAAGAAAACAAACAAATGGTTAATTGAACAAATCAACCTAGAATTGTCCACTCAAATTATCCTACTTCAAATACATTATGCAAAGACTAACTCTCTGAAAAAGACTTTTACATTGGGAAAGGTAGAAGGAAAGCAGCAAGCTGGATAGACTCAGTTACGTATAACGGCAATGGATACACACTGTTGGAAAACATGAAAGACACATCATCTTCCCCAATGGTTTCTTGTAGATATTGTATAACCCAGGGAATAAAATTGAATTTAAGGAATCAGTGGAACAATTTGCCTCCTGGAGTTGTGGTGCTCCATTGCTGGAGGTTTCCAAGACAAGATTGGACAACCATTTCTACAGGATGGTATAGGGACTCCTGCCTTGGGCAGAGGGTGGACTACAATAGAAGACCTCCAAGGTCCTTTCCAGCCCTATCATTCTAATTGTGTAACACAAGGAAAAAGAACCAGAATAATTAATTATCCCAAAACATCTATTGGAAATCGTCAACAGAGTGGAAATAGAATTACTAAATAATTACTTAAATTTAATCAATCAAGAAAAAATGAAACAGGCACCAAATGTTGGTGTCATTAGTTCACTCATACTCCATGTTTAAGTCAGCAGGAGCCCATGAAGATCTCATAATGTTTAATAACAAAGTTGAAACATTCAGAAAATCAGAAAGGAATGTGTTTTTCCCCCCACAGAATTGTAGAACAGATAATAAATCAGAGTTGCAAAGAAGGGAGACAAATCTTTGGATTTCATTAATAGAAAAGTAGCTTCCAAATCATGAAAATTAACAATTCTACTTTATTCTTTCTTGGTCAGGCCATTCATCAAATAGTATGTCCTGTTTGCGATATTACATTTTAAGAAAGATTCAGATATATTATAACAGATTCAGAAAAGATGAACAATACATTGCATCAACAGTTAATTTCCAAATTATAGGATATAATCATCCCCCTGCATTGTACCATCTAAAAGAATGATGGGGCAAATATTAGGTAAAATGAGAATTTCAATCATATATTTTACAAGTTACAAACTGGGAAAATAAATTGATTTTGACTTTCATCTCCTTCGAAGGTATGGCTGTTTGAAGCTTCAGTCCTACCTTAAATCTATATCTTTAAATAAAAGAAAATGTCCATATTGAAGTCAGTTTCCTCATCCCTGGTCTTGAAGGCTATGACAGGAAATTTCTAATCAATTTCTGGAATTTCCAATAAGCCCATCTTATTAAAAGTTGTCTATAATTTTTGAAAACCTTGGCTCCTTTTTGAGATGCAATCTTCTGCAGTCAAATGTTAATCTTGAAATTTAACAGTTGTTCTCCCAAAACACAAGGCTCTTTGGAATCTTCTAGTTATCCACCCTTGTATCCCTGACTGATAAGTTGGGCCTTAAAATAAAAACTAATTTCTGCAGGCCAGTAATTCTCTTCCTTGAGTAGTCCTTGTTGGGAGAATGTCTGAATGTTTCTTTCAAAACTTATTCTACAGTCCTAAAAAGAAAACAAGTGCTCCCTCTGTACATCATTACCCTCTTCTAAGTTCTCAGATAGTCTTGTGTTATGGACTACTGGAGACTTGTTATCTCAGGAGAAAGAGATATGAGCTGAAGTTGGTGTCTGAAGTCTTGGAGTAATATTTTCATTAGATTGGACCAGGTTACAGGAAGTTTGGAGTTCTTCCTTTTATTTAAAGTGAATATATAAGACTGTTTGGTAGCCTTGTATTTCTATTAGTTTTGTCTGCTATAAATTGTCTTTGCATTCCGGGCAAATAAACTGCCATCAACAAGAGTAAACTGATTGGATTGCAGTGTTAAAGAACAGTGTTTGGTTGTGTGTTGGTTAGCGTGCCATTTCAGTAGTGGTTAATAGATGGACTTGCCTAACAGCTAATAATGAAGAAATCGTATTATCCACTTAGTACTGTATCTAAACATAAAGGTCCTTGGTGCTCTTTGAGCTGCTTATTTTCTTGCAGATTAGCATTACCCAAACTAGGTAACATCATCAGTGCTAGTAGTTGTGTGCTGTCAGTTTATATTCTGGCGGCTTACCCTGTGAGTGTTGGTGGGGGTGGGTGTTAGACATTTTTTTTTGCTTGGACTGTTTACTTTTGGCTCTTTGGCAGTTTCTTGATTGGGGTATTGTTTACTTCTCTTTTATTGGTAACTAAACATTTATGCTGCTTGGTTGAGGTTGGTTTCTTGTGGTAGCGTCCAGCCTTCTTTATTATTGTTCAAATACTATCACCAGTTGTCATTTCGTAAAGCATTTCACTACAAAGCGCTATAAAAATGGGATTTTTTAACATTGGGGCTTGATAAAATGTACGTTTTAATTACTGAAGTAGTGTTTGGCTATTACTAGTATTTATGAATGTGTTCAGTAAGAATGGACAGTCTAAACCAGTGGTTGCCAACCAGTGGGCTGGGGACCACTGGTGGTCCGCAAGAAAATTGTGGTGGTCCGCAGAGAAATGTCACCCCCAAAGCACCCCCCAAAGCAATTAATCCAGGCTGTGCAGAAACACAAGACTGTGCCCATGGGAACAGTCACTTGCATTGCGTACAAGAGGTAGGGGAGGGGGAAAGGGCAGAGGGGGGAAACTTGCCCCACTTGCCTGGCTACCAGGTTTCTTCTTTCCGCTTCTTTCTTCTTCTGCTTTTGGCTGCACGCAAGGAAAGCAGCTAAAGTCTTTCTTTCTCTCCCACAAACTCTGCCAGAAACGAGTCTTTGGGACCTTGCAAGGCATCCTGCTCCAAGAGGATGCGCCATTCTGGCAGAGTTTGGGGGAGGGAAATAAAGACTTCTGCTGCTTCTGCTGCTTTCCTTGCATGAAGCCAAAAGTCGCTCTCTCTCTCTCTCCCCCTGGGAACAGAGCTGGAGATGGTATCCTGTGATCCCAAATAAAGAATGATTGATTGGTAAGAAAACAAGGTGGGGAATTTTCCTGCAGACTTTTTTGGGGATTTTCCCAGGGTCTCTGGTCTGCGGGATTTAAAATTATGACTTTGGTGATTCCTGAGGTCCAAAAGGTTGCCGACCACGGTCTAAACCAGTGTTTTTCAACCTCAACAATTTAAAAATGGCTGAAAAAAACTGAGAATCAAAGTTTACACTAATCATTGTAATTAAGAAACTGGTCTAAATCAACTGTTCCCAAGGATTTTTTTAAAAAAATTTTATTTGTCAAGCGATTATAAGATAACAGGTATAAGTATAAACATAGTTATGAATACATGAAATGGATACATATAAGAAAAATAAAAAGAAACAATAGGACAGGGACGGTACGCATGTTGGTGTGCTTATGCACACCCCCTACAGACCTCTTAGGAAAGGGGTGAGGTCAATAGTAGATTGTCTAAGGTTAAAGTTTTTGGGGTTTGGGGAAGAAACCACAGAGTCAGGTAGAGTATTCCAGACGTTTCTAAATCTCCTTTTTGGAGTCAATTGAAGAATAGCTTCAACATTGTTAATTTAGGGATAAATGACTTTCTAACTCAATCACATCACCAAAATGTTTCACTTCTTTTTTTTTTTGAAAATTTTATTGATTTTTAAAAACAAACATAAACAAACAAAACATAAAACATCTTTTTGAAAGCAGCATAATCCCGGGTTACATCTCTTCATACAGACACAAATTCAAGTTCATGCTCATTTTTATATTCCATTCCATATCTTATTACTATTCTACATTTTCTGTATAGCTTCTCCCCTCTTTTAACTTTCTTTATTTTATTTTATTTATTTCATCTCAATTCAAATCATTGTACTTATATTCTTTGTCTGTCCTGTTTCAACTGTCTACTATCTTTTCTCATTGAACAAAATTTCTCCTGTAATCACTGATTGGAGTATGATGCCTTTATATCTTTCCCCTAAAATTATAACACTTAATATAATACATAACTTCCGTTCGGATTCTGCTTGGTACATTCTAAAACTACACACTGTATTTTGAAAAAAGAAGAAATTATAAATGTATAATATAATTAAAACAACAGTCCATACCAATCCAATTCTATCATTAATATTAATATTCATTTAAATCTTAACGTTTTACACATTACTTTTCAGATAAGTATCATACTTCTATGGGAACACTTATAAACTTTCCATAGTTAATTCCCCCCCACTTCACTTATATTTTATAAAACATTGAGTAATTAAAATGTTCCCGTTCCTTCCTAATTCAATTCTCTCATTTATTTTGTTCACAAAAGTTTCACTAAATTACACTGACTATTTTATCCCACTTTTTAATCATACATTGTTTCCAATTTTCTAACATTATTTCTATTACAAATATAACAATACAATCTTATGTACCTTCACAGAATCCCTTTTTCAGTTAAATTTTCACCCATTATCTCTGAATAGGTCCTGTTTCTTTACATCTTGCTCCAAACCTTCGTAACTTCTCTTCCTTTCCTTCTTCCCTTTCTTCTTCTCTCTCCCCCTTTTACCCCCCTGTCTCTCCACCTCCATTTCCCTCTTCTGTATTCCCCTTTTCTGTTGCTTTCCAACTTTATATCCACTTTTCAAATTATTTTTCCCTTTTTTGGCTGTTTTTTTAAGTCTTAAATTCTCCACCTTAAATCTTAAACACTCAAAGAGCCATTTGGACCCGTTTCGCACAGGAAAAACACCAGGAGCCTCAAAACCTGGGTGGGCATGTCCAACTCAACATCACTCCCACCCCGTCACATGACACACACCCTGCCACACTTACCCAGGTTTTGTGGCTCCCGGTGTTTTCTGTGGGAAATGGGTCTCTCTCTCTCTTTCTCCCCCACTCCCTCCCTCTCATTCCTGTTTTTTTGTGTTTTATCTTCTCAGGCCAGGTAAGGAGTGATTGGGAGGGAAGCAGCGGTGGGATTCTACAGGTTCGTACCTGTTCTCTAGAACCGGTCATTAACATTCTAAGCAGTTTGGAGAACCGGTTGTTAGAAGAAATTACTGGCCTAATCCTGTAAGGAAGGCAGGAAGGAAACATTCTGGTGTTGCTTACAGAAACTGCCTCTCCGTTAACCCTGATTACATTCTTGGCAGGCCTAGACTTCCTGTCTCAGGAACTTCTCTGGAGTTTTTTTCCCCCCTTCTTTGCTGGTACTTTGCTTGTGTGGAGCGACCATTCAAAGTTACAATGGCACTTAAAAAGTGACTTATGACCATTTTTCACACTTACGACTGTTGCAGCATCCCCACAGTCATGAGAGGCCAGGCGAGGAGATGCATGCCTCAATGTGAGTGATGTTGAGTTGGCCACGCCCAGCCAGTCACATGATCACAAAGCCATGCCCACCAACTAAGCCACGTCTACAGAACCAGTTGTTAAAAACTTTGAATCCCACCCCTGGAGGGAAGGGTGAGGGGTGGGACCAGCCAGTGATGGGATCACCCAACAGGGAGCCATAGCAGAGGGCCCAAAGAGCTGCATGCAGCTCCAGAGCCATGGGTTGCTGACACCTGCCCTAGAATTAGTAAAAGGGTCTAAATTACATTAGAAGTGATTTAATACATTTTGAAGAGAGAAATTAAAACGCATTATCATGTAAAGAATTTTCCTGATCATCCAGTGTCTTAAAATTACTTAACTGCACCATTTATCAGTGCTTTTCTTGGAAAAGTGTAACCTGTGTTCTCTCCAGAAAAAAAGCATTGTTCTTCTGCCTAGGGATCTTACAATGCCAGTCTTTGCTTACGTTCAACAACAGATAGTTTTATAAGGTTGAGAATATAACTGCATTTTTTTGAAGTTAATCATTTGTGTGCATTTTTCAGGCAGAATGCAACAATTATATACTCGTTGTACATAAGATAAATACAACAAATTTATATGTATGTGGAACAAATGCATTTCATCCAGTTTGTCGTTACATGGTAAGTTAATGGCATATTTTTTTGGATTATTGCACTATGTCTTATACTTATGGGAACAAAGGAATTTCTTATTTATTCACAGTATTTATCTTAAGCCACTTTCTGAGTCACAGAGGGAGCTTCAAAATAGCATAAGAATTCTAGAAATAACTAATGTAGAATACACATGTCAATGGTTTGTAAAAGCATGTGTATTCAATGTAGAATACACATGTCAATGGTTTGTAAAAGCAAGTACAGGTAGCTCTCGACTTACAACCACAAGAAAGCCCAAAATTTTTGTTGCTAAGTGAACATTTGTTAAGTGAGTTTTGCCCCATTTTTTGACACATTTCTTGCCACAGTTATTAAGTGAATCATTGTAGTTGTTAAGTTAGTAACATGGTTGTCAAGTGAATCTGGCTTCTCCATTGATTTTGCTTGTCAGAACTCAGAAAAAGTGATCACACGACCCTGAAACACTGCAACCATCATAAATATGAACCAGTTGCCAAGCATCTAAATTTTGATCACATGATCATAGAGATGCTGCAATGGTTGTAAATGTGAAAAATGATCATATCACCTTTTTCAGTGCTGTTGTAACTTTGAATGGTCACTAAATGAACTGTTGTAAATCGAGGACTACCATTAGGACTGTCCATTGCAAGCTTTTTCTTCACCCTGTTAAAACCTTAGTAGCCATGGAGGAAATGGTACTATTTATAAAAGATAACCATATTCATCCAACCATATTCATCCTATTTCTTTTACTTGGCTTTCAGAATTGTTATGTTACCCTAAACAAGCAAGGTCATAAATTATGAATAACCTTTGAATATAATCTGTTGCTTTAGATTTTTCAGGAAGCAGGAAGAGTTCAACAGAACATGCCAGCACGCTAGCTTTCTCCTGATAAGTTAGAATTCTTTATAACAATTTTAATTTGGCATGTTATCTGAACTAACTAATCAACCCGTAGCTATCAGAAATTGGGAATATCACTAATCCCCATAATGGAAAAATGGATGATATTAATAGCTATTAAGAAAAAAGTTTTGCTAATGTTATGAAAAAGGCTTACAATTTAGGAATAAGTTCCCAGTCTTCTTGCTCTTTTAGATCACATTCCTCTCCCTAAGTCAAAGGAGATACCTCTCATGGGATGGGATCATGTCCCTCACAAAACAGTAACAGCCTCACAGTTTTAATTAGGAACAGTAATGACTAGGACAATATACTAAATGGGGCAGTTACAACCTTTCGTATCAGAGAGCCAAGATCAAAAAATCTGAATACCCTCTAGAAAACATGTATAGTAGGTGTTATATCTCATCCTCCCAACTGTTTTTTAGTATTCTCCCAAGTCTCCTGTTCCAGAGAAATGCCACTTAGTGATGAATGACATCTCCTCCTAATGTAGGTGATAAAATAGCATCTTCACAAAAGTTCTGCAATTTTAAAAACTCCATTCAAGAAAAATTAATGAGGTTGGAGTGCCAGCTTAGACCTTAAAAGGGTGAACTGATAATGTAAGATTACAGATTCTCTGTGGAATGAGATAAATTCTAGAACAGTATGGAAAGAAGATATACTACGGTAACTTCTTTGGATCTCTAGGAGACTTATTTTCACATATCAATTCACTCAGTTTACTAAAACCATCTTTGAGTATGAGTTTTACTTCTAATAATTCTAATAATAATATTCTCTGGAACAAAAGTGTATATTAAGATTACAGTTGCAGGAAACTGTTCATTGCAGAAAACTGTTCATATCTGGACAATTTCCATTATCTGCTGTCCTTCTGTTCAACTAAACAAAGTACACATAAGGGCCATATAAAATTTGGAGTCATACAGCTTCCTTACATAGATTGCATCCACTTGTGAGCTGTTTTTAAGCATTCAGCTGTATATTTTTTCTCTTTTAAAAATATAATTTTATTTAAATTATCATAATATAAAATACAAATGAAAATAAAGATATTAGGGAAATGTGGAAAAAAGAAGTGTGGGAAGGGAAAAAGCAAAGAAAAGTGTTAACTTCCAACCTTTTTCTGCATAATAAAAATAAAAACAGTAAGGCAAGCCTTAATTTTTTATGTTTACATACTAACTATAAACTAGTCATTTCTATAACAACAAACCTATCTAATCAGCAAATCCCAGTTAGAATTTCAGTTTTTTCTGTCTCAAACACAAAGTCTTGAAGACTTTCCAAGTAGAAAAAAGCTGGATGTATTTTTTCTTTGATTCAAACAGTTAATTTGTCCATCTCTGCTAGCTCCATCAGTTTTTCCATCCATTCTTCCATTGTGGGGATTAATATGTTTCCATTTTTGCACATAAAGAACTCTTGTTGTAGTCAACATATGCAAAGTTTTTTTTCTTTTTTTTGTTCAGTCCATTATAAGTTAGTTATACTGTCTGATGAATAAGGCTTCTATTCTTTTTTTATGATCAGATTCTCACTTAGAACAGTATAGAGTGTATAACAGAAATCTGGCTGGTGGATGGACATGGATTCAAAGGAATGGATTTTTTCACAACTCCAATCAGCAGCAAAATTAGGATAGATTTTTGACAGCTAGTGGAAATGGCAGATGGACTACTGTCAGTTGATCTCTTACATTTTTCCACTCAACCATTTGATAACCATAATTTTTATAGCATCAGAATATGGAGAACGTCCTAGTTTTCAGTCCTGAGGTTTTTCTCAATAGAACTTCCTTAGTTTTTGCCTTCATATAAAGTCATCCAGATTCGTGCTGGAAGTTGAATGGAGTCAAGGGGTCTTTACCTTTTAATGGATAAGGAAACCATGGTTTAGCAAGAAGTATGAACATTGTCACTAATACATCTGCTCTCTGGGAATTATTTAAAATAGGTAATTGACAATATGAAATTAAAGTTGTATACAAGAGCTACAGACAGCAGAGGAAGATGTCCATATGAACCAACTGTGAGTTATGCCTCTTTAATGGTTGGTAAGTTTTCTCCTTGCCCTGCAAAATGTCTTAATATCTTTTTCACTTAGTCATGGTTGTCAAGCACTGATTACTCAAATTAGAGTGAATATATTTCAGATGTGATGTTGCTTATCAGTCTTCGAATGAAAGACTGGTTTAGAAACTAATTGCATATGCAATCTGTCTGTACAGTATATCAGCTCTTCCTCAATAGCTGGCTGATGTAGGATTTTTTTTAAAAAGATTCTAATGACATATTTATTCTTTTTCAACTTTGTCTCCTTACAGCCTTTGTTCTTTTCTGTATACTATAGATTTCAAATGAAGTACAAGGTCATAGTGGGGGAAAGAATGTTACCCTATTCTGCAAGCAGCAGCTTTTTGGATAAAAAGTAATTTTTAAAAAAGAAGAAGCTGATATTTTACACAAAGAATCTTTTCAACCATTTTCTATTGTCATTGGACAATCAATGTAACCTTTTAAACTTAGCTGCTTGTTTTTCTCTATTTTTGGAACTTGCTGATATGTTTGACCACTGCTTCATTCTGTCAGCCATATGTTTGCAATGCAAGCTAAATTGCTGACAGCAGTCAAAGTGTCAGTCTCAGCTAAAGGCTGTACATAGCTATTAAGCAAAATGCCCTCAACTCTCCCCCCACCTCCTTTGTAATTCCACATAGTCTTCATTATTGTAGCTGTCTCTATTCTCTGACTTCAGTCCATTTTTCTTGCTCCTGTCAGTGCCAAGTCACCTTCAAGCACAGTTGAACAGATAGCAGTAGCAAGAAGGAGAAATAGTAAGCTCAAGAATGAGGAGGAACAGATGATGATATAGAGTAGGAGGGACTGACTTTGCCAGTCCTTAATGTTGGCACTAGTATTTTCATATTAAGATGAAGAAAGCTATGCTGTTGGACTTGCAGTAATGACTTTTTTAATGCAAGGATGGCTTTTTGTATTCATATTTATTATGTATTGGTTGGTTATATACCATTGAGTCAGATTCAGTTCCTAGCAATTGAATACTTATAATCCTGACCTGTCTTACAAAAGTATAGTTTTTCTAATGATATGTAGATTTTCTAATGATATTCCTATTCTGTTTTTGATACTACATACCAATCTTTATCCGTGGTTTTCCTCTTCTATTTCCTTTATGTCTTGCCATTAATTATAGCAACATTTATTTGCTAAATTAAAATAAGATTAAGTAGATTTAATTGTTGTGCATGGTTCATCATTCTGTGGGGAATTGCTGTAACTCAAACTAATTTTAGGCTACTCACATGCTAAACAACCATATTTAATCTATTTATATATTTTTTATTTTAAAGGAAAAGCAATCCAGCATCATATTGTTTATGCTGATCATGGACCTTTCCATAACCTGCATGCATGGTATTAAATTCTGAAGGTGCCATTTCTAGTAGTGGCCCAGATATGGGATTTGACATGGTTCACACTTGTGTCTTCTATGCTATTGCTGCTATATTTATCCTTGAGCTATAGCACACACAATATACCCATCTCCTGCAAATTGTGGCAGGGCTAAAAAGATACATCTTTTTATTTGCTTTGTCTCAGATGGTGCACTTTATACAGCCACTTCAAATAACTTCTTGGGTACAGAGCCAATTATATTGAGGAGTTTCAGGAATCCCTTAAGGACAGAATATAAAGCATCTTGGCTTAATGGTAAGACATTTTGTACAAAATTAATGAAGAAAATGGTGTACAGTAGGGCTTTTTTTGCAAGTCAGTTTTTACTGTGATCTCAGCTGCCTGTGTCACAGATTATCACAAACCAAAATTTTAATATACAATTAAACTTGTCAGCTTAGGACAAATTTGCCTGATGAGAAAATAACACTATAAGGAGCATTCTGGAGTTACAGTAGTAGCTTAATAAGTAAGTAATGTTTTATTGAAACAAGAAGTCTTTTTTCCAATTTTATCAGGGATAAATGTAGCCCAAGACAATACTCCAAAATTATAACCTAGTCTTTAGACAAAAACAGCTATATAATAGAATTGTTGCAGATTTTAGTTGGAGAGCTTTGGAGTAAGGGCTGTTTTAGAAAATATTAAAATAATGGGCATGTTGCCATCCCCATTCATTCTTGGTTCACAAGTTGGCTAATTGCTCTATAAATCTTATTCAGAACACTCTAGAATACACCTAGAATATTTTATTTATTGATTTCTGATATTGATATATCACCGGAATCCAGAGGCATGGTATTTTTCAGCCGTAACAGCACAAACCTATATACATAAAAACAAAGTAATGTATCAAATGATGGTCCATGATTATTAAATCATGCCAATTTACATTAGGTTATCAAGCTTTGGGATAGGTTAGAACTTGGCCATGTATTAGAGAAGTATAGTTGAGGCACCATATTTTGGTTTTATTGGTTTTTTTTATTTGTTTATGTAGCTTGCCAGATTTTCTTATAATAGGTGGTTATATAAGTCTTGTAAATAAATAAATACATCTTAAATACATTCAGAATATTCCATCTCAACTCCTCCTTAAAATAGACCCAAGGTAGTCATCAATATGTTCTGGGTGGGGAGAGAGGGCTTTCCTATAAGGTAGGAGCCATCACTAAAATTCAACTTCCTCAAGTCTATTTTGATGTCACTTATACAGTGGGAATCCATAGTGTTTCCATCTGAAATGAGTGTATCTGATAAATCAGTTGTACTTGGAGAAGGCAGTGCTGCAGGAACCATATGAGGGTCTTAAAGTCAAAAACAGTTTTGACCAGAAGCCAGTATAGCTTTAACTCTGGACTGGAGATGGAGGCATCTGAGACTTTGATTAGGAGCTATAAGAACATTTGGGATCTCTGGACTTGTGTGAACTGGAATCAGCAACATTGGCAGCACCAGTGGAGTCAATGGAGCCAGCAGTACCATGGATACATATTGCAAATACAGTTGCCAAGAGTAGGACAGAACCAACTGACTTTTGACATAAGTTGTGAAGCTACTTGACATAAGTTGTGAAGGCCTGCTAGGGATCGGAAAGGCTACAAAGAAGTTTGAGGCTTGAAGCATTGTGTGGTTCTCTGACAAGCTGTCATAGGTCAAATACCAGGGGTAATGTTCAATATGGCAACGTGAGCAAGGCTGGCAAAGCAAGAGGCTGGGATGGCAAGGTAATATAATGTAATCAAGCAAGGTCCAATACTGTCTCAGACTCTGGTGCAGTCTGTACTCTTTGCCACCTCCTTGATAGTCTCATGGGTGCTTTTGGCCTGGGATAGTGGCCCATGTTGTTGACTCTTGTTCAAGTTTTAAGTTCACAGGTTCCTCATCTGTACTAGGGCCTAGTCTTTTTCTGTTGATATACTGGTCTGGAACTTTAAATCCTCTGCACACCTGTGGAAGGTTGGGGAGCTTGAGCACTGTAAGATTTCCTCAGGCCGTGAGCTGTTGCTGCTGGGCTCTAAGGCAAAAACAGCTGACAGAGACTAGAATGACTTGGGATCCTGGGGAGTGCCATGGATGAATATGTGAATGCATGTGGGTGTAAGTGTGAGTGACTCCGTCTGGAAGGTAGGGACTGGGGTGGGAAGAAGCATGGAGGTGGAGAGAGGGCAGGTAGAAATATTAAGACTAATGGTCAGAAATCTGAACAGCTCCTGTTCAAAGAAGAACAGTGGCATGTGTATTCAGGAGACCCTTTATAAGCTCCACCAAGTGTTTCAGCTGTGCCTTTTCCTAGACTGAGAGGTCTTTCAGACATTGATGCCCTAATTAATGTGCTCTACACAGGACTATTCTAAAAGACCATTTGTAAGCCACAGCTGGTTCAGAATGCAGCAATGTGAGCAATGGGGAGTGCATCATGTTACATCCATGTGTGTTCCTGCTTTGTGAGCTTTACTGGTTACCAGTTGGCTTCCAGGTTACATTCAAACTGCTAATTATCATCTATGAAATCCTATATGGCTTAGAGCCTGGTTATCTATCTGGGGTCTATCTCTAATAATTTCTGTCTGCTTAATGAGATTGAGGACACTTCAGATCCTTTTAGTCAAGTAATGTCATCTAGCCAGACCTAGGCAGTGTAGCTTCTCTGTTGGAGTATCTGTCCCCGCACCCCTCAATGAGCTGATTTTGGAGATTGATATGTTTCCTATCTTCCAGTTGTTCCGAAAGTTGTTAAAACATGGCTCTGTTCCTAGGGCTGGGGCTATGGTGGATGCCAAACCTTTGTTAGTTTTTTTTTGGGGGGGGGGGGGAGGGTTTGATTGGTTTCAGGACACTGATATTTTATTAGGTTTGGTTGAGATTTTTTTTATTGTTTCACTGCTCCTGATGCACATCTTTTCTTAATATTTGGGTTTTCTCTGTATTGTAAAGCCCCCAATGTCTTTTGGGACTGAGTCTCCAAATCTAGTAATAAATTTAAAAATAAATAAAAATGGGTTAAGATGTGATGGCTCACTATTAGAAGACCTAAAGGGCTAGGTTGGAGACAGGTCATCTTGGGGGAGTCTTTCTATATGGCCACTAAGAGCTGACATTGATGGCCCATAGTCAGTTCAAACGTGGTTTCTATTTGGAGTCATCCAGGTTTAAAACTATCATTTGAAATGCTGACAATGCTATCAATCAACAGTCTTTTTTTCTGAGGCAGACATCTATCAGTCATTATCTGGGCATCATTCGATTGCTTGTTCATATTTTCCAACACTTTTCAGTGTGGCTATGTCAATTGCCAAACCTTTGGAAGGCTTCAATACAATCACATCTTACTGCTCAGACCTGCTTGATGAAGTTTTTTGCTCTTCTCCAGTAGTCAGAGAATTACTTCCAGACATGAGGATCTTATCCGTTGGCAAGTTTTTATTATTTATTTACTTACGTGCTTACTTATTTACTTACTTTATTTAATTTATTATTTATTTATTAAATTTGTATGCCACCCATCTCCTCTACAAGGTGATTCTGTTCCTTTTTGTTGAGCCTCTTTCCATAAATATTCTTGTCATGTTTAGTGAAATAGCTTGTTCACATCACTTTTTGTTTTGCTAGATTCTTGCTTTTCGGAAAACTGCCTGGTTTGGCCTGCTTCCTTTAAATATACCTTTTACTTATATCTTTGATATTCTTTATCTTCCCCTAACCTAGACTTCTCCAGATCTTTAGCACAATAATATTCCTTCAGGGGTGTTTCTGATTAGCCCTTTTGAACTCAGTTCCATATTACTTAAATTCTCAATTCCTACCTGACTTTCCTTCAAGTTCTTTCTAGCCAGGACTGACTCCATCATTTCTTCTCTGCCTTGCCTCGGATTCCTTCCTCAGATCTCCTCTCAATTATCTCTAATGCATTTTAAATCCTATCAAAGCTATCTGATTTTCTTTCATAGTATCTGAATTACAGATTGCTTTGTGGACTCTCCTAAGCTAAACTGCCAGAAGGAGTAGGGCGAACTGTGTGTCCTTTACTCTTAGGAAAAATGGCATACTTATTTATTAAATTTAAGTATAACCTTCTAGCATGATATCAAGGTTCTCCCAAGGATTCCATCACCGATAGTTTATAATTTGTAAACTTATTTCATTTAATTGCTTCAAAATCAGATAATTAATCCATAAATAAAGTTCTTTAATCCAGTGACAGGCTTATTTTTCACCAGTTTTACTTGCCAGCAGGACTTCTTATTCTTTTTGTGATATAATAACAGAAGCAAGATGCAAGGAGATTTAATTAGTTTCTATAAAGTTCTTTTATTTTAAAAAGGGCAAAATTGCTCTCATTTAATTTCAATAATAACACATTATCCTTCTTATAAAAGATTAATCTTTCATGTTATAGCTGGGTGCCTTATGTTAATCTGTGTTAATTTCTGCTGTGCCCTAATTTTTAAGAAGTAAAATTGGAAAGGGGGACGGACTCAAGCAAATATGCGCAAAGGACAGGATTTAAAATATCACCATGAGGTAATTCATGTCCTCATTTTAACTCATGCAGGTTTCAGTACCTGCTGAAAATGTATACTTTACTAATAGATTGTGTATTGGTTTAAATAAAGACACCCAACTGTATATAAAGAGGTGAGTGATGGGAAGGAAAAAGCAATCAGGCCAAATGGGTTGCTATTTGATACATTAGGACAGAAAAACATAAATGGTATTTTTAGGAAAGTGGAAATCAAAGCCATATTTGGCCAATGCAGGAGCTAGGTGCTAGGCTGCTGAGCTTTGATATATTTGACTATTATGTTTTTAAAGACTTAAATTACAACATTTTAATTCATAAAATCATTACTGCCCACATTTTACTAGACATTTTGATTATTTTAAAGAGAAAAATGGAATAGCAATGGCGTCTTAGTATTATTCCCTGTCTTTAGCTAAAACTATAGATTACATTACAATAAAAAATCTAAAATCTACTGGATTTTCTTTGCAATCTTGTTTATTTTTATATGTTCCAGAACCCACTTTTATTCATATGGAACTCATACAGGAGAATGAAGCAGTCTCTGACTCTGACAGAATTTATGTGTTCTTCACGGAAACTGCTACTGAGTTTGAGTTCTACGATAAACTTCGGGTGTCACGAGTAGCTCAACTCTGCAAAGTGCGTGTTTGAATTCCTTATTTGCTTCTCTATTAGACTGAAAAATGGAATCAGTGGAGATATTGGGATGATGGGAAATGATTCATCTTTTCATTGAGAAAACAGAATTAAGAGAAAGAAATTGTACTCCATCTCTTTAAAAAAGAGAGCTCTTTATTTTGGCTTTGTCTTGAGAACACAATTTTTCCTATTGTACATACTACATACTACTGTATTAAGAGGAAGGAAGACAGGCAGCTAGCTCTCAGTTAACCATCAAGAGACCTTTTAAAATTCTATAGAATAGATCTTACATTTTATTTTTTATTTATTTATTTATTTATTTGATTTGCCAATTGTTTACAAGATAATAAGTATAAGTGTATACATAGTTGTGAATACATGAAATGGGTACATATAAGAAAAATAAAAGAGGAATAAGAGAAACATATGTATACATAATGTTTCCCTACTCAAGATGTCCCAGTCGTGAAAAAGGCTTAGTATGGCTGTGTGAAGCGGTGCTCCTTTGTTTCACCAAGCTTAATTCAAAATGGTGAAATAATGCCTCAATGCAGAATTGAGATCAGAATTGAGAGAACTCCTAAAACCTGCATCATCTGAAGCACCAGGGCAAGCTTCTTTGCTTTGGCCAAAAATTTGTCTCTGCAAATGCAGATATGCATAAAAGATTGCTGAAGGCTTTGCCATGGCATACCAGCTCCTAGAAGTGGGTTTAAATTTAAAGAAAGGGAAGTTTCATTTTCTGAAGTGACCCTTTGCAGCTTTGTACAGGTTTAGTATTTAGTGAATTAAACATCCAGACATTTCAGTTCCAAATCAATTATGATTATTTTTCCTGTTCATGGTTCTCTTGGTGCATCTTCTGGATCTATTACAGACTCATTTTTCAGGGGTGTTTACCAAACTGCTGGATTTATTTTAATAAAGCAATGAAATAATGTATTAAAATCATAAAACAAGTGTATTTGGAACATTTGGCTAAGTAGTATTATAACAGGATTTGATTTTTTCCTCCTCAAGGGTGATCTTGGTGGAAAGCGAACATTAAAAAAAAGATGGACCTCATTTTTAAAATCTACCCTACTCTGCTCTGTTCCTGAACTGCAATTTCAATTTAATATCCTTCAGGATATCTTTGTAGTCAAGAATTCAAACTGGCGGGAAACCATAATTTATGGGATTTTCACCCAACAATGGTAAGAGTTCTTCTCTATAATATCCCAAGACATTTTCAATCTCCCTCTTAAAATTAACCATATAGGGCAGGTATATAGGAAGTATAATGGTAACCCCATAGTTTAAAGGAAGATCTATAATTGCTGGCAGATACAGATTCAAGTTAAGATAAAGATATGACATTTGATTCAATTATTTTTGCACTATGGCATGAAGAATAAAAGGACAAAATCACTCAGATTTGTGAACTCTTATAAAACATTCAGGAGGCTTGAACTGGGAAATTTACTGCAGCAGTTAAATCAGTGCAATGGTCCTGAATTTTAAAAAAACTTGCTGTATCATCTTATGGCCACCATATTGATTCTGCCGAGAATACTTTTGTGACATCAATTCCCTAATATTGTTAGAGAATACTGGTTGATAAATGATTTAATTCACGTTTTGGTGACCTCAAGATTAAATAATTATACATGTTCAAAGTTACATTTTGAATTCTTTTTTTACTGAACAAGCCATAGTTGCCAGATTGATATATTATGCTAAGCCTCAATGAGGGTGGGGCATACAAACATAGCCAGAAATAAGCATACCATTCTATGATTTCTCCCACAAATCCTGCTAATTTGTCTTACTATGGCAGGGATGGGATGGTCCTGGGAGAGATGAGCAAAAAAAAAAAGTGTGTACACTGAGTATATATTCACTACAGGATCACCTAAAATGTAAAGCTCATCCCACTGGCCCAATTAATGTTTGTTTAATTAAATTTTCCACTTTGACCCTCAAAGTTGCTTAAGTCATCCCCTTCAACCCACATAAAAGAAATTTTCAGCTCCATTCATATAGAGACATCACCCTATTACTAGCTACTGGCCTTCCAAGGCTAAAATAATTCTAGAAATAAAGGGTACCTCAATCCTAGATTATATCCTAACCCAAATTTACCCAAAGTTTAATGATGGAGTTAAAAAGCAACTGGAATCTTGGAGTAAAAAACCCGCTAAACTGCTAGGTTTCACTCAAAATCCAGCTCATGCCAATGATACCAATCATTGTGGTATATGTATGTTCCTGGGACAGATGAGGAAAGAGCACTGGAAAGATATGCCAAGAAAACTACAAAGAAGAAATAGTGTAAAGTGATTGAGGTGCTGGATAATTGACCCTCCAGGTGAGATGGCACTCAATTTGCTGCTGAGGAAAAGTTGAGGATCTTTTGGGGTACCAGTAGTGTTTATAACACAGCTGGATTAGAGCCTTCAAAACATCTAGTTGTTGATATTGCCATGCAGGAAAAGTTGCAGGAGAAATATGGAATTTAAGTAGTATGAAAGCTCAACACAATAAAAGAGGAAATAAATCAGCTACACATAGACAAATGGAGCATAGAAGAAATCAATCCAGGTCCTTGCTCAAGGTAGCACGAATAACCAGGCTCAAATTATTATCCTTTGGACAAATTATGTCAAGACCTAGCTCTCTGGAGAAGTCTGTAATGCTGGGAAAGATGAAAAGAAAGAGAGACTGGAGAATGACTAGGCAGCAAGATAATGGATTTAATTTCAACAGCAATGAGTTGGAAGATCTGAAGGATCAGGCTGTTCACAGATATATGTCTTTGATCATATTAAATATTGTCATAACATTTGATTGATTAGTATAATAGTATGGTCATCAAGTAAGTGACTTACCATTTTTTTTTAAATGGAGAAATGTACAGCAATCTGAGGTAATAATATTTTGCAAGCTATTGTCTGCTTTCTTAAGCCAAGAAACCCAAAACACACATTTAATTCCTTTATGTTCTTTACCATTTATTCCTCTTACATTCAAGTGGCAATCTTTCATGAGCTATAGTTCTTACCTGATAGACTCATAGACCTCTGCTACTCATAGTTTGGCAAATTGAGATATCTATTAGCCACACTTTACTACATGCAACAATGACCTCTAGCAGTAAGCTCAATTCCAGTTAATTTTGATCTGTTTTAGGCAATATATCTCAAGTGGAACCAAAAGCCAGTCTAAACTTCAGCATGTTTACATTATTCCATTGGGTCACAGAAATTTTTTGCCACATTTCTGCATTAGAATAGATTATTTCCCACTTTCAAAAATGCTGTTCATTGCAGAATTCTATTTTGTGCTTTATTTAAGGGGAAAGTTGGATATTTCAGCTGTTTGTGCATTCCAGATCGAGACTATTCAAGATATTTTTCTGAAAGGAAGCTTCAAAGATCCTGTTGCTTTGGAAAATTCTCATATGAAATGGGTGATGTATAGGGGAGATGTCCCAACTCCTCGCCCTGGGGCTGTAAGTCTCAATTTCCCCCGTTGAATAGGCATTTCCTTGTTGAGTATGAATATGGTTTGGTCTCAAGACAGGGAGGTTTGAATTAGAACTCAAATTCAAAATATTTTTCACACCCTGCAAGCTAACATATTTAAGTAACAGATGCTGCTGTCAGAAGATTAATTGTACTTTTCATTTGGTCATTTCTTAATCAAAACTATAGGCAGAGATCTTACAAAGTATGCATAGGTTATACAGTAGTATGTATGTATTCTTTGACAAAAATGACATTATAGCACAAAACTGTTTTAAATATTTAAGAATTTACAAATATTATTGGATAATATGTGGTAATTACACTGAACTCAACTCCTTGACTGAACCCAGACTGCACCATGCGTTAAGCTATCAAGTGTCTGTTACATAACTTATCTATATCTCCCCTTGGTGAGTAGTAAAAGCTGATTTTCTAAATAAACAGAATGCATAACTCACTAGTTCAATATTTTACAGTGTGCCGATGTTTCTGCTCTACACTTGGGGTACACCTCTTCACTTGACTTGCCAGACAAAGTCCTCCAGTTTGCCCGAGACCACCCTTTAATGGACAGTATTGTGAACTCAGTTGGTCTTCAGCCTGTTTTCCTGAAAAGGGGTACTAAGTATACACAACTCATAATAAGCCAAACCACTGACTTGGATAATGTCACATATGACATCTTTTTCCTAGGGACAGGTAAAGTACTTATTATGCTGTTTCCAAAGTATGTACTTTTTTTTAAATGCTGTCTTTTAAGTTTTAAAAAGATAGATGAACTTTTAGAAGTTTTAAAGCAAGAAGAAGCAAATAACAGCTCTAGTCTACCTCTATACTAGCACATCATACCCATAACATATTTTTGGTATCCTAGTGATATCTTATAGAATATATAGATCAAGTCTTTGCTCCCCATAATGTATTTTCCAGTAGAACCTATTGTAATGGTATGTGAGAATGACCTTGGGAGACAGAAAGGAGAGCCACAGACAATAGCATGTAAATGGTATCTTAGCCTATGGAAATGGAGATGGTGTCAGAAAAGATCCCTCTCTAGTTTTCCAGAGAGGAAAAAGAAAAGATGGGGGAAATTTCAGTCTTACATGATTTTGTTAATCTAACCTTTGTTCTCCTTGTCTGGACTACTATACTTGCAGGATTAAAATCTATTTATACTCTCATGAGGATCTGAGAAACTTGAATGTTTGAATTTTGCTATTTCAGTGATTACAAATTTGTTACCAAGTTTGATTTATTCCAATTTATTGACTAGCCAGACAAAATAACTAAGCTCTGATATTAAAGAAGTACAATTTGGGTTATGTGTTTCTAATACATCTATAAAACATAAACAACTAAGATTTAACTCTGTGTTTTATTTTATACAGATAAGGGCTATTTGCATAAAACTCTCAATTGTCATGGAGAAATTATTATTTTGGAAGAAATACAGCTGTTCCCATCAGCAGAGCCTGTACAGATACTCAAGCTAGCTTCTCTAAAGGTACAACATTGTCCTGGTCTATTCAGCATAACACCCTTTCCTTCTGTTTCATTCCATTGTCTACTTTTGGATTTATCTATTTTAATGGTTTTTAATATCATTTAGGGAAAAAGTTAACTGTTTAGTGCTGTCTTTCCAGGGCCTGTTGTATGCCAGTTCTCCTTCCCAGCTAGTACAGCTCCCTGTTGCAATTTGCAGCTGGTATAAACAATGCTTTGATTGTATCTTGGCAAGGGATCCTTACTGTGCATGGTCCCTCTCTCTTCACAATTGTATCCTCCTGGCTAAATACCTTGAGAATTCACAGTGAGTAATATAATCAATGGAGCAAGTGATGAGACTTGATTCAGATTTTAAAGTGTGTACATTATTGCTCTACATTTTTAATCCTTTGTTTGCTTTGAAGCTTTGTCTGAATCGGCTTGCAACAGAATAAAACAAATCAAAGACAGTGCCCAGCATTGTCTGTTTTTGCTGCCTCTATTTTTGGTGAACTTGTTCATGTTTCTTCAGGAAGTGGTGAAGCTACCTCCCTGTAGGTATTTTTTCCCTAGCTAATTACTGAGGAGCTACTTGCAATGGAGAGGAGATGAAGCATTAGCCAGCCTTTGTATACTGAGGATTCTAACTTTTTTTCCCCCTGTGGAAGTGGTGTTTCTATTGAATCCCAATTTTTTTTTTCTAAAGAGGCCTTTTCAAGTTTTATTGTAGGAAAGAATTCTGAATAGGGGAACCACAAGTTTAATTTTTTAGATGACTAAATGAATGCTTTCCCCCATCTGCTTTTGGAATGGGGAATCAGTATAGCATATGACCATGAAAAAAAGGAGTTTTATTAGAGCCTCTGGGTCCTGCTAAGGACAGGGCAGAATAGCTAAGGAGCTTCATAATCCTCCCCAATTCACAAAATACTTCACTGATACAATGAATCAAGGATAAATCAAGGCGAGAAACAAACAACCTAGAACTAAGGAGAAATTTCCTGACAAACAATTAATCCGTGGAAAAGCTTGCATCCAAAAGTTGTGAATGCTCCAACGTTGGAAGTTTTTAAGAAGAGATTGGACAACCATCTCCTGCTTGAGGAGAGTTGGACTAGAAGACCTCCAAGATCATTTCCAACTGTTATTCTGTTAATGTTTCCTCTTTGAAAAGAGTATATTTTACACTGATGAATAAGTCCCTGA